AGTCCTAGGGAGGGCTCTTCAAGAGTGAGAGGAAGACTGCCGCCTGGCCCGGCTCGTGCTGCTGAAGAGAGTCCTCAAGCGCACGCCTTTCAGAGCATTCATGCTTTACCAGCGTCTCCTCTCTTCTCTGTCAGAATGGCTTCTCCTCTTTACATCTGAGCTCAGTCTCATGACAGTCTGCTGCTGGCCACTGCTTGGAGTTTCCCATAAGCACATGCTCAGCTGCCTGATGTCCATGGACTTTGCTCAACAGTTTTCTGCTCATCCCTTCCACTCTTCCTCCTCCTCCAGGCTTCTTCTCAATTGACTGTGAGCACGTAACTGGAGATACAAACCTCAATATCCTCATGCCTTCTCTCTGTCTTTCACCCCACGCTGGCTCTGTCAACAAACTCTCTGTTTGAGTGCTAAGATCCAATATTCATCCCTCCTCTCACCACCATTCTGCGAAAACGTCCATCAACTTGCTCCTTTCTTCACTGCAAAGACTCTTCCTACTTTGCTTTTGAGAGAAGGTCTGACAGTGATTGTCGAGCTCGCTGACAAGCTAGGCAGGCCAGCCAGAAACAGCCAGGGGTCCTCCTGTCTCTGCCTTTCTAGGGCTGTGGTTACAGGCTCACACTGCCACGCCTAGTTTTTACATGGATGCTGGGGATTGAACCCAAGACCTCGTACTTATGTGGCAAACACTTCACATGCCGTCTCCCTGGCCTCCTGCCCCCATCTTTCTGACCACATCTTTCTCTGCTTCATCAACCCCTGACAATTCTCTGAACATCCGAGCTGCCCAGAGACCTGTCCCGGAACCTCGGCTCTTGATGTGGCATAGTTTTTGAAAGTGCCCTTTCCCTATATCGCACCTTGTGGGTCATGAAAATCCTAACTAAAATCACCTCCCCTCTTCCTGTAGTCCCTTCTCTGCTGGTCTTTTCTCTTTAGCATTGACTGCTGGCATCTTAGAATCTTATTGTTGGCTTTGGTTGCCATTCATTTCTCCAGTTAGAATGCACTTTAGGAAGATAGTGTTTTTAGTTTCTGTTCCCACTTCCTCGAACAGTGTGGAACACGGGTGGGACTCAGTAGACAGTTCCTGGAGGAAAAGGAATCATGGCCACACTGAGGGGACAGTACCACAGGTGTAGCCTCTAAGAGATGACTAGTTCATCAGGTGGAATACTCAGGATTGGGACTAGTATCTTTATCCAAGAGACCTAGAAGGCAAGGCTCAGCACTTCTGCTATGTGAGAGTGCAGAGGGGGTATAATCTCTGACCTGGGACACTGCCGTTGGACACCAGAGTTTCCCATGACATGTTCTAGTGCTTAGACACAAGGACCTCCATAGTGAAGGAGGTCCATACTGAAGGACTTCACAGATCCAGGAGGTGACATCCCCACAAGGCCCTGCTGTGCAGCACCTCATATAGAATTGTACAATGTGCCTCTGCCTTACTATCTAAAATGGATTTATTCTTGGTTTGCCTCTCAACTTGGAAAGATATGAAAATCTAAGTGAAGATTTCCTGAGGTACACTCAAACAAGGTAGCCACTTTTATGGGTTATTAGTGAAGATATTACATATGAGAAAGAGTCTTAGTTATACAGGAAAACTTCTTTTATGATAGATATCAAATTAAAATCCCATGGATATTATAGAAAAATGGGCTTTCAGTTGTTGTCCAGCGCTGACAAGAGACTCCCAAAACATACAGCCTATTGTGGCCCTTGGTTACTCCCCAAAGTTGAAGATGAGTCCCCATCGCTTAAGACAGCATACACTTCAGAACCAGGGCCCAGAGAACTTTGAACTATAATTGACATGGATGTACCCTCTCTGGGGACTAGCTTTCAGGGTACCAGAAGATGCCAAGCAAACTTCTAAAGGAGGGAGGTAACCAACAGACGGATCCAGCTATGATGCCTATGAATCACTTCAACAACCAGAGTGTCACAATAATTCTATTGGGGAAGTACTGGCACACATACCTTGGCAGTGAAGACAGCTCTCTAATTGGGTTTAAAACCTGAAGGAAACAAGTTTCAACAAGATGGAAACCACGTGTGGTCCTAGAAACCTCACTAAGTACCCAGTGCCAGTGAAATTGTGGTTATTGGAAGAGAACGTACCTGATAACAATCTATAAACATTTGTCCCTATACCCCTGATAGATATAGTCATTACCACTCTCCTCATCAAGGAAATTTCTCTTTACAACAAATAGAGACCTCTACAAAAAACCACAACCAATGACAATGCAGAGTTGTGGAGCCCAGTCCCAATGGATACATCTACAAAACACTCCCACACCTAAGGCTCAGGGAACATTGCAGAAGAGGGAGCAGAAAGATTGTGAGAACCAGAGGATCAGGGAGTTTGCTGTGAGAATGTGTCTCCTAGCAACATCAGAGGCTACGCCCATAAATTCTCACCAACATGACTACTCAAATATGACCTGAACAAAGATGACACCAATGAACAGGCCAGACAAACCCTATAGAAAGAACTACAGGCAAGTGAGAAAAGATGAGAGCAGGAAAGGTACTTCCCCAGGGAAGAGCACAATTGTTTGTCCAGAGCCAAACAGTCAGCCCTGAAAAGATACAGACAAATAACATTATATGGACTCAAAAGAGTATATTTAGAAGTATATATGCATTCAATAACAGTTAGTTTAATAGAAGGGGCCATAAATTTGAACAGAAAGAGGGAAGGATGAATGGGAGGCTTTGGAGGTAGGAAAGGGAAAGGAGAAATACAATTAAATTATAACCTCTCAATTAAAAACAAACAAGAGGAATATGAAAAAAGCGAATATGTTGCTGCCAACCCCACTTTGAAGCTGCTCAGAGTCCAGGAGAGATTAGGTTGAAGTTTAAAAGGTGCTCCCGGTGTCCACGTGCCGTGTTTTATTCTCCACTCATCCATTGATGTGTGTGCTAGTGGTGAGTGTGTAAGTCTCTCTTTGGCTTGTTGGCTCTGTGTCCTTTGGCTATCTCCCTGGGAGAAGGACAGCCCACTTACAGGATAATCTGGATTAGTTTCTCAGGGAACCTGTGGGCTGCTCTCCACCCTGAGTAACTCATTCACAGTTCAATAGCATTTGCGGACAATCCCTTTTCCTACATACCCTTGCTTTCATTATTTTTATAATTCCCGCTCTAACTCAGGTAGTTTTGTAGTTTTGATTTGTGTTTCCCCAATGCCTAAAAATATGGAACGCTTTTTCATAAGTTTAGTGACCATTTTTATTTCTTCTTGGAAAGTGTCTTTTTAGAACATCTACATCTACATTTTTTGTTTCAACTATTGGGGTTTTCTAGAGTTCCTTGTGTATTTTGAATATGTATCTGCAGAAAGTTTGGTTTTATGTGCATGAGTATTTGTTCACATGTTCATGTATAAATGTGTGTGTATGTGTGTGTGTGCGTGTGTGTATGTATGTATGTGCACTGCCTGAGGGCATGGTACACATGGAGGCCAGAAGAAGTATCAGATTCCCTGTAGCTGGTGTTACAGGTGGTTGCAAAGCCACCATGTGGGTGCTGGGAACTGAACCTCAGTCCTCTGCAAGAGTAGCAAGTGTTTTTAACCTTGAGCCATCACTCCAGCATCTAAATATTAGTACTTCGACAGATGAAAATGAAAAAGATTTTTGTACATGGACCAGATATAGGAAGGCAAGTACCATGTGTTCTTTCTCTGATGCGAGAGAGAACATAAAACATTAAAACATCACCTTGAGTATAGAGTTGTGATTTCTTGGAGCTTGGAAAGGGCTGCAGCAGGTGGCGGAAGACATGGATTTAATTAGGGCATGCTACAAGTATAGTCGAAATTTCATGCTGAACCCCATTAACATGTTCAATGAACACATGTTAATAAAAATAAAATAAATGTGTCTTTAAAAATAGTTAAACAACCCATTGACTAAATCACCACTGTGTCAGCCACAGCAGCAATTTATGAATGTAAAGTGAGAATGGATGAGAGAAACTCATTTATTCCTTGGTTCATTCAAGTAACCATGAAATAGAAAAGAAAAGCACACGAGGATGAGAGAATGAGTTGGCAATACAGTGGGGAAAGAAGGCTTATGAGTAACTGATTAAAATGCCAGAAAAAAAAAAAAAAACAACAACCAGTGGAGAATGAAGATCTGCCCACAATCTGTGCAAGCATCCTGGGAACCAGGAAGCCTCTTGTAGAGGGAGCCACTGCTTGAGGGTCAATGGGGTTTGAGGGTGGCATTTGAAGACATGAAAAAATGGTATATCAGGTCAAAGCCATGACAGGAGCAGAAGTGGAGGTTTAGAGAGAACCTGAGTGGTTCTGATAATGGAACTGAGCAGCAGATGTACCTGGTGCCATTCAGTGATCATGGCCATGGGCTGATGATGAAGTCAAAGCCAAAGGCATGTTGCTCTGTTCATCATTTCAGAAGAGACCCAGGTCATTCCAGAAGGCAAGTCTCACAGTCACAGCTGGCTTATAGAGAGCCTCTCAGAAGGCAAAGCCACATTAAGTCATTGGAAGTCAAGATTGAGAGAGTAGCCAGGCCAAGCTCTGTTACACAGTTGCATTATTTCCCGAACATTTCCTGTGTGTTGACAGAAGCTATTGTCGGGAACAGAAATGACTTTCATATCAAGACTGTAGTGGTGGAGTATTTGCTGCAAAAGTAATTTACATGCTATGAGGATGAATCTCAAGTTTGGTGGGAGACAGAGTCTTTTGAGTGTTTGTCTATATGTGTATCACTACACATATGACGAGGAGACTGACCTCTGAGCATACCTGTGGTAATCTTGACTACATTAATCAAGGTGGGAGGATACCATTCACTCTGGGCAGAAACATTCCCTGGGTAGTAGGTCTGGACAATATAAAGATGAGACAGCAAGCCAAGTACCAGCATTCATCAGTGTCTTGTCCTCCTTCTCCACCTCCTCCTCTTCCTCCTTCTCCTTCTTCTCTTCTTTCTTCTTTTTTAAAATTTAAAAAAAGTACGTCATGCTACACAAATTTGTGTGTCACCCTTGTGCAGGGGCCATGCTAATCTTCTCTGTATTGTTACCATTTTAGTATTATGTACTGCTGAAGTGAGCACCAGTGTCTGCTTCTTAACTGTGGATGCCATGTGACCAGCTACCTCAAGCTCTTGTCACTTTCCCTCCATGGTGGACTGTGACCTAGAACTGTGAACCAGAAAAAAAAAAAACTCTTTCTCCCTTAAAGATTTTATCTTAGAAAAAGTAATCAAGCTACTTGTCTTTCAGAAACAGGCTATTTCTTTTCTGTTCTTCCTTACTTTTTTTGTTTTCTGTCTCCCCTATGTCTTCAGACAGTTAAATGCTAAGTTAGACTCACCACGCAGGGATATTCATGTTGGCCTTGTTGGTGTGCTGAGTGTTGCTGCCTTGAATTACTTTATCTTCATACTGGGCCAATGATTGTGTAAAAATGATTGAGACATGAGGGTAAGGTGGTTAGGATGACTTCAGAGAACAACACCTCTGTGGAACTGAGTGGGAAAATGAGGAGGCCACACACAGTACTTTTCTCATTGCTATGACCAAACATACCAGGCAAAAAAACAACTTAAGGAAGAAAGCGCACATCTTGGCTCATGGTTTGAGAGGCACAGTGTATGAAGGAGGAGAAGGTATGGCTGTGGGGTGGATGGGAAGGCTGGCCACATTGTGTTTGTAATCAGGAAACCAAGAGGGATGAATTCTGATTCTTGGCTTCATTCCTTCTTTCTATTAGTCCTGGGCCCCAGCCCATGTGGGGGGCCACCCACATTCAAAGAATCTCTCCCCTCCTTAGTTAAGTCTTTCTGGAAAGAGCCACACAGGCACACCCAGAGGTACATCTCCTGAGAATTCTTGGTCAGTCAAGTGGACAGTAACTGTTAACCATCACAGAGGCTTTGAGTTGTTTGGTCATCAGGCTAAAGGACATTCAGGAGAGTTTAATGCCATCCTAGTCACTAATGGGGATAGGTCCAAGTTTATAACTCCATACCCACTGGCCTCTGTTTACCACCCATGTCCCGTTTCTTCCTTCAGGAAATCAGAGCCGTGTTTTACTTCACAGAATTAATGAGGACAAAAATGAGATAAGTGGTATAAAGTGACAAGCACTGTAAATGCACAGAATCAGTAATTCTTACAACTCATGGACTGGATGACTTGACTCTATATATCACCTCACTCCCTTAAAGTATCTATTAAGGCTGCTGTCCTTCATCTTTACAGGAAACAGGCAACACATGTCGGGAACTTTCCTAAGTGCCCGAGTCTGCTCAACGCCCGGACCTCTACTGCTGGCCTTGCAAACCTTTAAGCTTTGATATTTACAGTCTTCATGTTGATTGGTTATTAAAGGCCCTCACTGGAAATGAACCACGGAAATAGTAATGATAACAACACTTATCTATACAGTTGTGTGTGATAACGTACTCACATAAAGAGATACCAGCACTATGTCTGCCTTATGGAGTTTGGAAGCAAAGGGGCTCACCCACATCAGCCCCTATGCTGAAACTAGGCAATAGCTGAGCAAAAAAGCTGAATCTCAGTGATGAGGTCATTAGGTTATTTTGAAGCAAAACACACTGCTAGAAAGCAGCAAGGACCTTCTCGAGTCTCATTGCTGGAACTCGGAGGGAGCTTTCCTATGGTCATGTGACAAGCACTGCAGTCACAAAGGCTTGTCAAATGCTTTCTGGGTTGAGCCTGCTTTACCCAACAAGAAGGGCTAGTCAGCAATAAGCCACACCCACGCGCATGTACACACATTTCATTGTAAAACTACTTTTCTGAATATCACCACAAATCCATAAACACATAACTGCAAAATTCATAAAATGTCCCCATCTTCTTTTAATTTCTTCTTGGCAAAGCTCTACAAATAAGGGACATTTTTTTTTCTTATTAATTTCTCCAAAGAGTAAGTCTTGGTAGCTCATTGAAACATATCTCTTTAGCAAGATTAATTCTAAAGTTTGACATCATGAGTACCAAATTAAGCTGTCAGCCTAGGAAGCAATACAGAGAAAGATCTCCGCAGAACACCAGGGGCTAGAGGCATATTTGAACGATTCTTTTCTCATTATGTCATTCCCAGCTCTTGAGTAGAGAGACACGTGTGCCATCCTCACCATCAACCACCATATCATTGCTGCCTCAAACTCTCACTAGAGCTGCGGACACAGAGTATTATGTCTGTCGACAGCTCCAATTAGCTGGCGTGTCTGACTGGTGACAGCACCATCCACTTTTGTTTACAGCAGCAGTGGGGGCTGTATCTCGTCTCCCACCTCCAGCGGCAGATAGACGGCTGGAGCTCTGTAATCATGGAGGGAAGTGTGTGCTGCTCTCCCTTCACAAACCGCCACGCGGAGTAGAGCCAACGGCCTTTTGTCTGCGCTTAGAAGGTGACTGTCAAGTCAGGAGGCTGAATATGTCTCAAGCTCCTCAGATGTATGACTGACTACAGCACTGTAGATCACAGGGCATTGACGTCATACAGATGCTTCTCCAAGACAAGGGCATGCTTCATTGATATCGAAGCGTCATTGTTTGTAGGTCTTCTGTTTAAAAGTTTCAAAATGTCCACCAGTCAACTTAATGATTATGTCTATAATAGGAAGAAGAAACTGTTCAATTACATTTTGTGATATTTGATACCACACTGCACTCTAATATATGACAGCTCATTTGCTTTGAATTCCCTACATTGATTCTCTCCGCTAATTCTATCTTCTGCTCCCTAGAGACTTATGGGAGACAAAGCCCAGATGGTGTTGATAGTGAAGAAAGCTGTATGTAGTTCAAAGTGCATGCCACACAATTCTGTCTTCAATAGATGGACATAGAGTGCAAGAGCTAGGGGACAGCTCAGTCCATCGGGTGCCTACCTTATGGGAAGTTCTCGTGGCTTGCTCAGCCTGCTTTCTTACATCACCCAGGATGACCAGCTCAGGGCTAGCACCACCCAAATGGGCCAGGACCCTCTCATGTCATCATCAATCAAGAAAATGCCCTACAAGCTTGCCCACAGCCAGCCCTCCACCTGATGAAGGCATCTTCTCTTGATGAGTTTCCCTCTTCCCAAGTGGCTCATGGCATGAGCACCTGAGTTCAAGCCTTAGCATTCATGTGAAAAGCTAGATGTTCAAGAAATGCCTATAGTTCAAGTGCCAGGGAGGCAGGAGTCTCCTGTGGCCATTTGCTCAGCCATTCTAGCTGGGTTGCTGAGCTCCAGTTTCAGTGAGAGATCCTGTTAAGAAAAAACAAAAAGGTCGAGGAATACACTTGATGTTGATTTCTAGTTTCCAGACACACACACACACACACACACACACACACACACACACACACACACA